ACAGCGTCATACGCCAGAAGAAGTTTTATTGATGTCGAATCATTGTATTCGATTATACTTCAAGAGAGCTAAATCGGCAAAAGTAAGTTGCATTCCTTATACCGTACTGCTGCTAATTTTTGTTCAATCGACGATCTGCGACGCAGTCAGTCCGTCGCAACCGTCGGCTCGCCATAATTCTTGAAGAAGCGGCTCACGCAATTCGAAAATTATGCCATCTGATAGCTCACCTCACGACAAATTCAACAGTGAGTAGTAATTCTGATTCCCTACACATCCAGGATTGCGCCATGCACTCGACCTTCATCCCGTGAAGCAATTATTTGTATGAAATGCGTATGTAATATATGATGCGCATATAACTCCTTTTATGCAGTCTGATCATTCCACGGAAAGGTGGGTCTTGACACTTAAACAGAATACGCCACCTACTCAACTACCCACCACCTTGTGAGGTTGAATGAATGTTTTTTTACGAATTGCATCAAACAGTTTACCAGAATGGTTGCTTCTTCGCTTACTGAGGTTGGGAGCTCTCCCTTCTAGATGAACTATAAATTTTAACAAGAGAGAAAAATCAAAAAGGGTGGTGCCCTGGTTCACAACATAATGGGTATGTGCTGTTTACGATTGAAACCTCAGCACTTCTGTAGTTCCATATATTTCACGTAAACAACAACCTTTTTATTTTATCTCGCACTCTAAGAATACAAAATTTCAAATCTTAGCAACGGCTGCAGAAGCACCCTGGGTTGTGAGTTCATGAAGTGCTGAGGGGGACTTGCAAAACTGTTACTGTTACTTACACCTTCTCGTTGACCACACCAATGTCGCTGTCCACGAATAAAATCCATTCATAGCTGTTTTGTTGTAGAATATTAGCTACGATACAATGACGTCGAAAGAAGAACTGAAATTGACTTCGAGCAGATTTATATTAGCATAGCAGCATATTCGGTGGCAGTAATGGACCCTGTAAGCTGGAATATGAAAATGATTCATAAGAATAAAATTGAGGATTTAAACAAGATGGTTCCTGCAGAATCCTGTGGGCCCACTAAAGTGGCCCACGAAGATGAAGCGAAGAGACGTGGTAGTTTCGTTCGGTCAGAGTGGGTCACAACTTAGCCTCAACCTATACAAGCATCGGCGATAGGGCACTACTTCCACCCGTTTCACTGCACAACACTGACACGATCAGGTTCTGCATTTCTGGCGTGTGGAGCACTCCTTTGGGCTCTCCCATACTAAGGATTATAAAAGTACTCAAGTCATTCGAAGAGTGCTTTAGATAAGAGCCACTGAGTGTCCTTTATCTCACACATTCTGCTCACATCTTATGCGACCTGGTCGTTTGCCCTACAGCTCTTCCATCTGATGCTAATTCCACTGTCTCGGTTAAGTTTCCTTGAACCGCTTCAGGCCGAAATGTGAATGCACGTCAGAAGTACTTGCACGCTACACCAGCAGTCATCACAGGTATCCTCAACTGAGTCAATCACGTGCCATAAACGTCTTTACCGCTGTCTTTGGTAAAGGAGGCACGTGGTGGGGTCAATCTCGTTATCTCACTACACGACTCTCGTATTCTCCATATGGCGAATAGAGAAGCCATAGCGGATGTGATGGACTCTCGATGGTTAATCCAAATTAGTCGTAATTGAATCTGTGTTTGTGAACGCTTCTAGCTCCACATCCAAATTTAAGAAAGGCCGTGGACGATGAATGTTTGAATGGGCTCAGCCTTACTCAGACTTGTTCTCTTGATTCTCATGCATAAGTTGGCAGACAATTTCAAGAGGATTCGGACTACCACATCAGTTTCGTGGACACTGGCAGCGAGCAGGTAGGTTTGTAGACGTTCAACTTCTCTTCTATCTCAAATAGTTCCTAATGTGCAAATGGTGACGTGGTCCGCGGTTGCCGCAGTCAAATCCAGTTGAAGTTGCTGTGCCGGTGAGAAATTCCGTCAAAGGTTGAAGGATGCAAGTTTGTTATTATGATGACAAATTAGTAAATATAGGATGTTTATGGCTCCCTTGAGTCTCGGGGCGTGATATTTCTAAGCCATTAAAAACTTGGTACAATATGCGTGTCAGTGCCACCACATGAAGAAATAATTTCTAGTCCCTGTTCATTCCCCGTGAGCTCTACAGCAACTTTACGACCAGAATCTCACCATTCTACAAGGAGGTCATCATCGACGTCAAGAGAGGGGTTCGACAGGGCGACACCATCTCGCCCAAACTCTTCAGCGCCGCTCTCGAGAACGTCATGCGTCAACTGGAATGGGAAGACATGGGAGTGAAGGTCGACGGCCGGCAACTACACCACCTTCGTTTTGCTGACGACATCGTTCTTATAACGCCGAACATCGAGCAAGCGGAGCGAATGCTGGCTGATTTCGACTGCGCCTGTGGTAAGGTCGGTCTACAGCTGAACCTAACGAAGACGATGTTTATGAGAAACGGATTGGTTCCTGATGCCCCATTCACGCTCAACGGAACGAACATCACCGAATGCTCCAGCTACGTGTACCTAGGTCGGGAAATCAATATGATGAACGATCTAGCTCCAGAGCTGAGCAGGAGGAAACGAGCGGCTTGGGGAGCGTACAAGAACGTCGAGGGAGTAGTGAGTAGTGGAGAATAGTGGAGCGATATGGTAGGCGTCCTTGAGCTCGACGGTGATGACAGATGACGTCATATTCTGGAGACGGTGAAAGCAGCGAAGGTGGGCCTGATTCTGCTTATGGGGGACATCTAAGGAATAATTCGCCGTATAACTCCCAATAACAGCGGCATCCTTTGCGACGAAAAGTTCGATGATATGCGCCATGGGCAAAGTGACTCTTTTTTTGCCCCCCCCCCCTGTATACGTGGCGTCTCTGTGATGCTGAAAAGGTGGCGAGGGAAAACAAGAGAGTTGACGATTCAGAACTGAAGAGCGAACTCATGTAACTCTGATTTAATCATGCACTTCTGAGGGTTGTAATATTGAGGTGTTAGTTTTTTTTTCCTTTTCAGGAAATTTCTGGTTTCTAAGCGAGGATAGTATGTTCCTGTAAGATAGTAAATTTAGTTTCTTGATTCACAGATAGCAAAGGTGCGCTGATTCGCGTGATACCATCAGCTTCGTATTTGTGTTAGTTTCTTGTGCCGTACGAGGTTTGTAGGTGGAACATTTATTAGTTCGGCCTAACGTTTCGACAAAATCGTCGTCTTCTGAGGCCTAAATGCGGTTCAAGGTTGACTTACGTTCTAATCCACCAAGCGCCTTATCCACTCTAGCGGTTCCGACATTCTGTCAGAACCTCCACCGAGAAACACAAGAAAAATAATTTTGACTCACCCAAGGGTTCCACCGTTTGCGGGAATCCCGCTACCACATATAGACGCTACTCAGTAAAAAAATAATGCACACCGCACTGTCTCTTGATTTCAGTGTTCATTGTTGTTGTTCATTGACGCACGTACCCTTTAGCTCGCAGTGCGGTGTATACGGCGAAAGATCACTCACTTGTTATTGAAGGACGCTCATCTCGGCCGTTCATTGCTGGATTTCTGGAAGAAATCCAGAATGCTTCCAGTGCTTTTCTCGCCACAATTTCTGTCTCATGCGCCAACACCGTACATTTCAAATGTCCTCGCAACCATGTGAAAGGTACCGGCCGAAGTGTTCAAATTAACAAATCAGTCCTGATTCAGTGTCAATCGTCCCGCTCCATGTCGAGTCGTTTGTTGTCCTGTGCAAGTATCGTGCGCGTTTGTCAGATATGTGTTCTAGAACCAGCGACTGTGGTGAGCACTTGGTTTGATTGGTGATATAGTTGATGTAATCTACGTTACAGAGGAGTTCTTGAGGAAGAGAGTATGCGCATTTGCAGACGTCTGAGGCGCTGATAACAAACGATCGGCATAGTACGTTCTCGTTATTCCCGCAAGGTAGGGGTGCCTTCAATTCAAAACAACCAGTTACCTTTTTGGGTGCTGCTGTTATTGTCTCCCCTTTTATATCTGACAAAGTGAGCACTGCTATTCAACGGAGCATTAGAAGAGCACAGCTGCAGAACGATGTTCAGCTGGTTAATATTCCCAATGAAAACATCGGACGGCAACTGGTGCGAAACAGGCTCTATGATAAGCAGTGTGTGTCAGACGGTTGTGTTATTTGTCCATACGGTAAATTAGGAGATTGTGCATATAGCGGAGTAATTTATCAAATAGAATGCCAGACTTGTAACGCAACCTATATTGGAGAAACAGGGAGGGTTCTAGCTATTCGCATCAAAGAACACCTCGCTAGCATGAGACGCGGTACTCGTTCATCAGCTCTTGGAAGGCATAAGTTCGAGGAGCACAATGGCGTTGAATTTGAAATCAAGTGCAC